TAGCCTCGAAAGGTAATTAAATTTATTTTCTTCCTTTGCCCAGTATGAGGTTAAAAAGGACAAGTTTTTTCGCTCTCTTCAATTGAAATCAAATGATACGTATAATTTTTTTATTTCGACCAAATAAATCAAACAAGACATTATTCTCCTTGCCCTATATAAACAAAGCAACTTAGACGTGAAGAAATCTACCCACTGAAAAGATGCAATTTCATATTTTTTTTCATTAACATACCAACTTTTCCAAAATCACAAACTTTCATCCAACAAATTAGGGGCCAACAAATTAGTGATTTTCTTCTACAAAAATACATTATGCACGTGGTCTTAAAACTAATAAAACCAATAAAAATAGGAAATTCATAAGAATTGAGTACTCACCATATATATGAATTTGAAGACATTTGTGGATCTACCTTAATTATGTGTAACTAGACAAATAAGTTTATTAGTTTTATTAGCTGGATTTTTATATGACTTGGTCTTCATATCAAACAGTATTTAGCAAAATATAATTATTATTATTAGTACCTAGTCATCATGAAATGACCAAACAACCACCTTTGTGTCTTTGTAATGTACAGCAACATTCCTGGCTCCACATATCAGCACTTAGCTGCGCCTGAGATCTCCATACTACCTTTTTTCCACTCAAATATTATTACTAAATATTAATTAATCAATCAACTAATTTAATCAATTAATTAATTAGGTGTAAATAAAAAAGACATTTTTTATATTTGTTTTCTACCTATTGTCTTCACTTTATTATAGAGTATTCTTGATTATTAAATTATTGATGATTTTATGATATAGAATACCGACCACCATCATCATCTCATTAGCAAAAGGCCAAATTATCTCTTTCACACAAATGTAAAAGTTATTAAAGTTGATAATGGATTATTATTGGTCTTTCTTTTTATTATTCTATACATGAATAAAAGTGACCACATTATATTGTCTTTTGATTGCACTATTGAAGAAGTTTAGGATTTAACTTTTTTTTATCTTTACCTATATAAAAAAATCCTTTTTGTCTATACGATTTGTGTAAGCTTTTGTTTCACAATGCAAGTTAATGTCCTTCCACTACTTCCCTTTAATGGATCACACATAAAACACCATCAATCCATCATGCTAATTATTCTTACCTTTATTTTATTTTTTTCTCAAAGAAAAAAATACTCTATAATAATTAAAATTCTAAAGTGAAAGCATGAAAATTGGTCGATTTATAAACTTAAATTGTTAATTAGTGTGTGTAGATATCAGATATAAATGGTTCATCATTTGTTATACAATAGAACTTACTAAGTGTGTGTAGATATCAGATATAAATGGTTCATCATTTGTTATACAATAGAACTTACTAATTATCGCCATGAATTCAAAGAATAATTTAAACTAGTCATTTAAAACGACTAAAATTTAAAGTTGTTTATATGTAATGAAGTTAGGTTAAGGTTTAAGGTTCTCTTCGTTCAACTCGGTAACAAATTAAGTAAGATTCAAGGATTTTGATTTGAATTCATGTTGAGTAAATTACATATCGAGTTGGAATTTATATCAAGTCAAAAAAGAGGTCAAGTTGAATTTGGGCCAGACCAACTAAACAAGAATACATGTACTTTTGTATTATAGGTTACATCAAATTCAAGTTTTTCTTTGATTATGCACTGATGTGTCTATTTTAAATAGTATTTTACCTCCATCCCTTGGTCATAATTAGTAGTGTTTTTGGCTCTTTAGAGCCACTTTTATTACTAATTGGTGTTTTCTAGTGTTTTCTTAGATTTGGTTGACTTTTGCAGGGATTTGCACTTTTGGAGTATTTTCCCGAGATATTTTTGAGCAATCACGAGCATTGGAGAAGCACGACCGGATTTTATAGCCCAGGGCCGGTTAGAGCCATCGAACCGGTGATTAAGGGCTCGATATAGGTGATACCGGGGCATTTGGACTGAGTATTCAAGACCGGAAGAGGAAACCCAGATTGGCCCGAAGAATTGGAGCCCAATCGTAGTCCAAATAGTGGCCCAAGAGAGCCGCCCGGCCAAAGAGGCTGGCGCCCGGAGGCGCGCCCGGTCGGGCGGGGAAGCTAAGGTCGGCGCCCGGTGACGCGCCCGGTCGGGCGCAAGAATAGTACTGAAGAGCAAAAAGGTGCGCCCGATCGGGCGCGTGTAATTATTAGGAGACGATTAGCGTCGTTTTAGTTTGTTTTAGTTTAGGGTTTGTACGGAGTATAAATACTCCTCCGTAATACGATTTTAGGATCTCTCTCTCTCTCTCTCTCTCTCTCTCTCTCTACTCTACTCTTTCTTTACTCTCTTGATTTTCTTTCTCTTAAACCTTTGTTCTTAATCTACTCTTAATTTCAGATTTATTTTGGTAACGATTTCTCTTCTCTTAATCTTAGTTGTTTATTTTATTCCTTTAATCATGTCTTGCTATATTGTTTTGATTACTTTAGTTTCTATTATGTGTGAGTAGTTTTCTTTCTAGGGTTTATGGGGATCCATAAGTAATATGAAGGGGTAATTTATTGTTGTTAATTATCAATGCTAGATTAATTTCCTATTGATTGATTTAATGCTCTGTGACTATATTAGGCCTAATTTTTTATGCATGAGTTTGACAATATTGATTCGAGATTCGACAGATGAGGATTGATGTTTAGGTCTAGTTTCAATAGGCATGTTAATTTATAAATGGTTAGGTCAAGATTCGAAAGATGAGATTTAATACCGGTAAATTAATTGAGTGATTATAATACGTAGCGAAATCCCTTTGTAATCTGATTAATGTATGCATTGATGAATGATTATTATATTCTACCCTGCAATATTATTTATTGGTGAACCTATGCCCTAGATCTTTTTATATATTATTTTCTCTTTATTCCGGATCTCCGTAGTTTAGTTTATTATTCAATTATAAATATTGGTTACCTCATAATCTAGATTATAATAGTTAATTAGGAATAGAAAGATCCGTTTCTCTGTGGATTCGACCCTACTTCCCTATCTACATTAGTTAGAGGATTTAGGAATTACTTTTGATTTGGGGATATGACTTTACCCTGTCATGCACTAGCTAGTTTAATTTGGGCTCTAATTAACAATGAATGATCCGTTTGATTTAGGTGTTTTTTGAAATTGAGTGTGGACGATTTCATGGAATTTTTGAATGAATTGTCACTCTTTTTTTTATGGAGAAAAGAGGAGCAAGCTTAAATTAAGTTAAAGAGTTGTTGGCTTCCCAAAGAGTTGCCCAAAAGTACAGACCGTGGTTCATCCGTCCTATTGATATTAGAAATGTTTTGTTCTAAAGCCTTAGTACAAATATTAGGAGGAACAGATATAATACAGAGCTGATTCAAAAAATTTAAAGTTCCTCTTGCATTTTTTGCCAGAATGTCAGCCACGATGTTCTTGCCCCTCTCTCCATAGAATAGCTTCACCTCATGTTGCTCCTGTAACTGCTGCCTGCATATGTTCAACTTTGGAGTTAGAAAATAATCTGTGCTTTCATTTATATCCTGTACTATAAATTTGCAGTCAGATTCAATTAGACATTTTTGCCATCCCCGATCTTCAGCCAAGTCAAGGCTAGAGAAATGGCTCGAATTGCTACCTCCTCGAAGAAGTATAGCCTCTCCATTGAAAGCCTTCTATCCAAGACCCTTTGTTGTCTCTACACACACCAACACATCCAGCTTCTTTGGAACCAAAAAGAAAAGCAGCATCAACATTTATTTTGTAGAAAGGAGAGGGGGAGGAATCCAATGATGGGATGTGGGCTTTGTTCTAGTGTCATGTTTTGTGGAGTAAAACCATTCACTAGCAGCCCACAGACGACATTGATTGGGTTGTAGAGGTTTTGATAGGGATATTTGCTTTAGAGAATAACCAGTTGTTTCTTCTTTTCCAAATTTGCTAGATAGAGAAGCAAAATATGATGTTCCAAGGGAGGTTATTGTGTGAAGAAATTTTTGTTTTGAGGTTTCTGAAGAGCCATATTTTGTATGACTCTTAGTGTTTTATTGGAAAACAAGGAGGGGTTCCAATTTGATTCCAAAATTCAGAGGCTCTGTTGCAATAAAAGAATATGTGTTGAGCATCTTCCCATGAGGAAGGCAAAAGGTACAAAAGGATGATGGAGTGACTTTCCTGAGATGCAAGTTTGCTGCAGTAGGGAGTCTATCCCAAACTAGCTGCCACAGGAAAACCTTTATCTTTGGGTAGGTGTTACTGCTCCATATAATGTTCCGATCCCAGTCATCTAATTCTGGAACCCCGGGCATTTGTCTCATGTTGTCAATGATCCACTGTTGTCAATGAATTGTCACTCTTTAAGCGGTGGAATACTACTTGTAGTATATTTTCATACTAATATTTGTTTATTTCATATAATTTACGCAAAATTGATCTCAACACTCTAAATTATAGCTTGGGTGCACCCAACACCCCAAATTTTGATTAATAACAGGCACACCACTAATTATTGATTGAGCTGCAATAAGTGTCATATATAACCTCTTAATTATAAAAAAATGTCTTACTTTGAGTGCCCAAAAATTATTAATAGTATGCGTTGGACTTCAATATAATCAATAGTTGGTGGTGTACTTGCTAGGCTGCTACTACTTAAAGTTCAGGGTGTTGAGGTCAATTTTATCTTAATTTACAATGCCTTTTTTTTCTCTAGTAGTTCACTACACGTCTACACTGGTTTTAAAAAAAAAATATAAGTGGTGACACGTTAATTTGAAATAGAATCCTTGTGTCCAAATAAATTATACTCTTGATCTTTATGCATAAAACAAGACAATGTGTGTATTAATGTATACCCAGTATATAATTAACATAACAAAGCTGTAAAACAAATGGGTAAATACAAGTTTATATGCCAAAAAAACGAATATTTGTTAATTTGGTGACATTTATGTAAATATATTGAAAAAGCGTGGTTATTTATTCAGTATTTTTGGTCAGTTGTCCAATTACTGTTTGCAACTTGCTTTTATTGTTCGGTAAGAAAATTACACATGTACCCCTCAACTACTTGTACATGAAAAGACGTATGTACTCCTCCACTGATACCTGAAAAGACAATTATACTCCCAGATAAACAAATTTTGTTTATTTAGGGAATTAACTAGGTACAACTCAAAAAAAATGTATAAATATGTTTATTTGGAGAATTAATTGGATACAATTCAAAAAAAATGTATAAACAATCAACATAATGAATTGAACGGAATTTGCCAAAGAGACCTTATAGTCATGTTATCATTAAAATTGCTCATACATCATTTTCCTAGGTATGTGCAATAAACAATAATTGGGTGCTAAAATGTACTAATAGTTGATGACTTTTCACCATTTGCAATGAAATCTTTAAACCACTTGGCGGAAAGTCTGGGCGTTCGTTTCATGGTGTTCCGATCCACATAATAGAGCCCAAAGGTGATGTTATAGCCTTGTATCCATTCAAAATTGTCCATAAAACTCCATACAAAATACCCTTTTACTTTAGCTCCTTTCCTACCATTTTGTACCAACAAAAAGCGTGCTCAAATTAGTACAATAGCGTCCATATAAACTTTGAAGCAAGATAGTTCTACAATTGAATTATTCAATTATCTTTATTTATTTTTTTCGAATATATAAATCTCATGTTTTAGATATCACCTCTTATAAACTCTTATATATTCCTTAAATCGAATTGACTTTTACAAGAAAAAATGAAGGTTAATACTAACTACTATATAATCAATAATGATTGTAACAAAAATAATACTCGTATGAAAGCTTGATTGTAACGTTATTTGGACTATAACATTGTTTTCTTAACTTATTAAGCTTATATACTGATAGTTGACTGCATTTGCCAATAACAAGAATTTTATATAGGGGAAGACTCTCGTGAGAGCTCCTTCTATATGTGAGAACACTCTTTATGTTCTAAATTTTTACTCTTATGTTCTAAATTTTAAACCTAGTGTTCTAAACTTTTCCTCAGGTGTTCTAAATTAAATAAAATGTTCTAATTTAGTACTCACATGTTCTAAACCATAAATTACTTAAGTTTAATGGTATAAATTTTAAATAACTTATTCCAAAATTTGAACTTATATGTTCTAAATTTTTAAAGGAGTGTTCTAAGATTTTTAATTATATGTTCAAGATTTTAAAGCGCATGTTCTAATTTTTGCTCGTATGTTCTAAATTTTTATTCACATTTTATTTTATATCAGTTGTTCTAAAATTTTATTCACATATTCATAATCTTAAATCAAATGTTCTAAATTTTATTCATACAGTATGTTCTAAATTTCATAAAGCAGTTTTTTCTAAAGTTTTAATCACTTATTCTAATTTTTAAATCAATTGTTCTAAATTAGTATTCACACAAATCACTACAAAAAAAAAAAAAAAAAAAAAAAAAAAAAAAAAAAAAATCAATATAGCATCAACTAAAATTTGTTGCAATTCACCAAAAATCCGTTGCCAACTCTATTTAGCAATGGGTTGGAAACAAAAATTTGTTGTTGCTAAAAGGCTTGTTGCCATGGGATTTTGGAAACCAGTTGCAACACAATTTTGTTGCAATATTGCATCAATTTAAATATAGTTTCCATGATTGTTGCTGTTTTTGGTACATTTGTTGCCAACTTTGGCAACAGATTACCATTGGTTGTTGCTAAAATTAGCAACAAATTATTAATGTTAGTTCCTAAAATAGCAACAAATTATTAATGTTGGTTCCTAAAAATAGCAACAAATTATTAAATTTGATTCATAAAAATAGCTATAAATCATTAATATTGGTTGCTATCAACACTACGAGACAAAAACCCAATCCCTATTAGCAATTCGGTTCAACCCGATCCCGACCTTTACCAATCTGAAATCTCACTCAGGTTAGGTCAACTCGGCTCGACTTTGCATGTAAGGCTCTTTGAATCCCTAGTCTCAAGAATCGCATTTGGTAGGAGTCGAACTTGCGACCTCAAAGTCAAATTGTGAATCTCTTACCAACTATACCAAGTACTATTTGTTTACTTCTATGCATATAATTTACAATAAGTGAACAGAGACGAAATTGAAAAATTTGTCTCCAAATTAGGGACAAAATCAAAATTCCATCTCTAAATTAGAGACGAAATTGAAATATGTCTCTATTTGATGTCATTTTAGCAACAAATAATTTTATACATTACAGCAAAAAGTGGCTTACATATAAATTAACAACAATATGTAACACAACTCGTTTCCAATGGCAACAAACAAAATAATGTGTTATCAATTAGCAACAATAATTTAGAAGACTTGTTTCTAATGGAAACAATTCAAAAATTCATTGTATTTGTTTGTTTCTAAATCAATACAAATAAAATTATTTGTTGTCATAGTCTGTTACTATTTGGCAACAAGAGAAAAATATGATGCCGTCTAGTAACAACTAGTAAGACAATTTATTTTAAAAAGCAACAAATCAAAAATATGTAGCCATTGTTTATTAAAAACTAAAGCATAAAATGTCGCTTTTAATTAGGCAATGAAAAAATTTAGATTCGTTGCTATTTAGCAACATTTTAAAAATCTGTTGCCAAACTTAGTTGCTAAAAAGCTTTTATTTTTGTAGTGAAATGTTCTAAATTATTACTCATATGTTCAAAATTTAATTTGAGTCACATGTTCTGTTCTCATTGATTGAACTCAGCTGAACTGAACTGAACTGAACTGAACTGAGCTGAACTTAGCTGAGCTGAACTGAACTGAACTGAGTTCAACTGAACTAAACTGAACTGAGATGAACTGAACTGAACTGAACTGAATTGAAGTGAACTGAATTTCAACGTAAGAGAACATGCCCTTGACTCGTATGTTCTAAATTTTAGATTAGTTCTTATATAAGTATAAAGTCTCACATATAAACCTATTCTCACTGCATCTCTACCAACATTTTGCTCATTTACCGATGTGCTTTTAGTGGCCAATATTGCGGCCGTTAAATGTAGCGAATCAGGGTTTTAACCTACCTCCGTTTTTTTAGTTTATAAGTATTCATTTTGGAAGTTTATTTTTAGTTGGCACGTTTCCTTTTTGATAAGTTTTTATCACTTACATTTATTAGTGTATCCAACTTGCTTTATCATTCTCTATCCTCTCCTTAATTTGTGTGTCTAAATTGAACATGTCAATTAAATAGAAACGAAGAAAGTAGTATATACATTCACTCAAAAAAAGTGATAGCATGTTGTTCCACAAGACCTAGGCCAATTAATTAGCTAGAGCTTAATTAAATCAGACAGATAATGATGCATTAGTAGTTTAATCTAATGATAATATCAAGAGAATGTTGAGTTCTGACCTCATAGCCTTGGACATAGATGCGAGATACGTTTGGTGGAATTTAATCCTTGTAAAATCTTGTAGCAACTCTGTTCCTTCTTGGTAATTCGGTGGGCAGTACCCTGAATATTACACCGGATAAATTAAAATATTATTTACGTTCTTTTCATTTCTAACATTACCAAAAGCATTGTAAACATCTATAATATTATTAAAATTCATGGGGACAACATGCTCACGACATGTGTCACTCATATGCCACATATCAACATAAGCACTGCATGTTATGCTATGTGTCATCCCTCTTCTCTCACCATATTGAATTGTATTAATGTTTAATCTCTTTAACAAAAACTTTTCATTGGTCTAACTTTAATGCTATATAATATAGTAGTGTTTAATGTAATTAAATTTTTTTTTTCATATTGACCTCTTATTACATTTTCATTTAGTTATTAATATTGTTCAATATTAACTCTTCTAAATTAATTAAATCAAACATATAATTTATTATGATCCAGGGCATCGCCCGGGTCAATAACTAGTTAACATTGTTAAAATCCAATATATTTGCCTTAATATTTCAATACAACTTTTGTCATACACTTATGATTTATTTAATCATAGCTAGCATGGCTAGCACGGTTCATTAACATCGTTATTGAATCATAATTAAATCTATATTTGTGTTTTCTTATAATTTGATTTTGCCTAATCTTTCTTGCATTTGTCTTATCTAATTTTGTCTGAATTTATTTTATATAAATTTTTTTTTAAATACAGAACATGAATTGAAATTATTATAGTAGTATTATTTTATGTAAATTATATATCTTGCTTATTTTAATGTACTTGAATTTATTTTACTTTGTTTGAACTTAATTTTGTAGAATTTTTTTGAGTTTATTTTGTCCGAACTTATTTCATCTGAAATTTTTATATAAACTTATATGGAACATTATCTAAAATTATTTATATATACTAGAATAATATTAAATAAATAAGAATAAAATGAAACAAATAGGCACTAAGTTAAGTGCAATTTTTAGAATGACATTTTGATCATTTAAATTACAGTACCTTTAATTTGATAAATCAAAATTGATAATAGTAGTGAATTACTTACCATTTTCTGTAATATAAATACTGGTATTTGGATATCTCAAACTCAAACGATTTAGAAGCTTCTCCATTCCATAAGGTACTATGCGAAACCCAAAAACGCCCATCTGATAACATATTTAGAAAGTATATTTAGTAGGGTTCAGTTAAATTCCGGTATCACTAATTTATACTAAGGTTCCGTTCTCATTAATTAACTGAACTCAGCTGAACTGAACTAAACTAAACTTATTAATTAGAGTTGAGTTGAGCTGAGCTGAGCTGAACTGAACTGAAAATAAACGTATGAGAACAGGCCCGACCTAAGTCTTAAAAGTGTATATTCTATTTGATTAAAAAAAAGGCAAAAGGTCATCTTTATTTCTCCTTAACAATTACTCGTACTTAATATAGTACGGAGTAGCATTAACACTTTGTTTGGATAAGAAAAAAAATAAAGAGTGGAAAAATCAAAATTCCTTTATTTGGACAAGGGTTAAGGCTGGATTTCCCTCTTATTTAATTTTTCGAATTGGAAAGATTTGGAGAGAAAATGGAACTCCACCTTCACCTCTAGTTTTCTTTAAATTATTTCACTCTTCTTCATTTCTTTGTTTTGTTATCCAAACAAAGTGAAAAGTTGAATCGTAAAGCAGACGAGAAAAATTACCTCGTCTCCGATCGGAATACCATTTCGAGCTATCGCTCTGCCAGTATATCCTCCAATAGCGCGATTTTCCGTTGAGGTACAATCATTGGAATTGAAACAGTCAAGTGCATAAAATGTGGAGTAATGATTTATGCCTATGAAATCAATACTTCCTTTCAATAACTCTACTTCTTCTTTACTAAACTTTGGTAAGTCCTTTCCAAGATATTTGCGCATTAAGGCAGGATAATTTCCATATATTAAGGGATCAAATATCCTGCATACAAATTAATCAATGTGTATAAGCATGGACGCATTTGATTAACAAATTAAAGTTAATCAAGCAAGCTAAGCTTATTAATTTCATATATGTATATCATACGTACCAGTCGACATTGAAAGCGTAAGACCTTTCTACAGCTTGGTAGCTAAATTCATCATTTGTGTATGGTTCATAATGGAAGGCATTCGCCGTTAGACCGACAATTCCACCTTGCTTAGGCTACAAGAAGAAAGCCATGTCAAAATGACATTAGTTATGGTTTTAATTGAAGTAATAGTACATTAGAGTATGGTACATGTTAAAAGACCAAGTCAACCAAAAGCTTAAGTTGATGGTTAGCATGAGTCCTCCTCATACCCAACGCTTAATATTCAACTTGAAAGTGAGGGGTGGATGAGATTTGAACCCGTGATCTTTGTGTTACGCTGGCTCTGATATCATGTTAAAAACCAACTCAACCAAAAACTTAAGCTAATTGTTGAGGCCCAACAATATGTTTTATACTGTACGTAGTTATTATTATGTATGCCGGATAATAATTTACATACGAAATATAAAGGTCATAGTTGTGCATTAGCAAGTATGTCAATAAGTGATACAGATTCTAAAATAGATCGAGGGGTATATATAAAGGTTTAGCATACCTGAAAATGGTTTCGATATAGTTTAACGGCCTTAGCATGTGCAATCAACATGTTGTGAGCAGCAATTAGAGGTTCGACATCTGAATTACCAGCAGAACAGTTACCAAAAGGAAGTGAACAACGCCTTGGGGGAAATGTTCCTCTCATATAAGCGAATTGAGTGAATACATTAGGCTCATTTATAGTCATCCAATTCTTCACTCTATCACCGAACTTCTCAAAACATAGCTTTGCAAAATAAACATATTCTTCCCTACACAACGTATGTCATTATTAGAAGTCGGTTGGTTAAATATGTTAATGTTGTATTTATGTTAAGTTTATCTTGTTAGGAGTTTTAGACTTGTCAAGTTTTTTTTTTTTTTTTTTTTTTGTATTGTGTATATATATTGTCGTGGTAATCAGATCAATGCAAAGTTTAAGCCGTTTTCTCTACAATATTCTTGACTTTAACAGTTATAATTACTTAAATTATGTGTTACATTTTTTGCAAATGAAAGCAAATTACTTCTTTGAAGGACAACCAAAATAAACGTGTTTAATGCAAGTGTGTAAGTTTTATGTGTCCTGCATATTGAAAGATAAAGTAATAAAGCAAGATTTTAGGGTGAAATCTAGCTTTATTAGTATTGTGACTTACTGCATGTGAGGACTTAGCCAGCCTCCATATCTATCCTCGAGTTCTTGTGGTGTTGATAAGTATATTAGGTGACTCGTACTTCGTAGCTTTGTCCGCCCGATCGGGCGGACATTGCCCGGTCTGACCGGGTGGAAGAAGAAGAGGTGCCTGGCAAATTCGTTGAAGAAGCTGCTCTCGCGCCCGACCGGGCGAGCCTTCGCCCGACCGGGCGAGCCTTCGCCCGATCGGGCAGACCTTGCCCGGTCTGACCGGGCGGTGGGGGTTGGATACGTTGAAGCATTCGTATGGAGTTTTCTTCTCGCGCCCGATCGGGCAGACCTTGCCCGGTCTGACCGGGCGGAGAAGGAAAAATGCGGAGACGCGGATTTTACGATTTAAAGTTATCTTTTATGTTATCTTTTTGCCCAAGTATCTTTTATTTTAGGGATTAATATAAAACCTCCCTAATATTAGTATTAGGGTTAAGAGAGACAGAGTGAGAGCCGTTCTTGAGAAATACAAGAATCATCTTTGTAATCTTTGCAGTTTATAGTGAAATCATTCGATCTCGGTGCCCGTGGACGTAGCTATCACATCGATAGTGAACCACGTAAATTCTTGGTGTTGTTCTTATTGTTTGCATTGAATTTCTTTATTGTTTTCTTGTTTGTTTTCGACCTTTGCTTCCGCTGTCGCACAACAATTGGTATCAAGAGCTCAGGTTCAATCCTTGGATAGTTTCTTGAAGATAACAATGGCAGGAGATTCAACAATAAGAATTGAGAAGTTTACCGGGAAAAATAGTTTCGGGCTATGGCAAATTAAGATGAAGGCTCTGTTAAAACAACAGCAGATATGGCGTCCGTTGGCTCCAAAGAGTACTACTTCGGAGTCAGGAGACGGACCGACTGACTCGCAGTTAGAAGTTATGGAAGAGAAGGCACACTCTACCATATTACTTAGTCTTGATGATCAAATCATCACGGAGGTGGCTGATCAGGAAACGGCGGCTGGATTGTGGCTGAAGCTGGAGTCATTGTATATGACTAAGTCGTTGACCAACAAATTATTACTGAAACAGCGGTTGTTTAGCCTCCGGATGCAGTCAGGTACTTCCTTACGGGAACATCTAGAAAAACTTAACTCTATTTTGCTTGATTTACGTAATTTAGATGTTAAAATTGATGATGAGGATGCTGCGTTGATTTTACTTGTATCTCTACCGTCTAGCTTTGAGAATTTTGTAGAGTCTTTTGTTGTTGGTAAGGATTCTATAACCTTAGAAGAAGTGAAGGCAGCACTTCATACTAGGGAACTCAGAATGAAAGCTACGAGTGATAATGGGGATAATGGTAGTGGGTTGTTTGTTAAGTCCGGAAAGTCTAAAAAGAATAAGGGGTTTAACAAGGGGAACAATGCTGGGTCGGGTGCTGGAAACGGCAAGGATGGATCTAGTAAAACTACTACTAAAACATGTTATTACTGTAAAGAACCGGGTCACTTTAGGAATAATTGTCCGGTGAGGAAAAACAAGTCCCAGGCTGCTGTAGTTGAAGAGAAACCGAATAAGAGCTATAATTCAGAGGAAGATTTAGCATTAGTCAGTTCTGCTAGGTCTGATGATTTATCTGATAACTGGGTTCTAGATTCGGGGTGTTCGTTCCATATGTGTCCACGTCGAGATTGGTTTGATACATATGAACCTCGCAATGGGGGTATGGTTATAGTCGGTAACAATGCTCCATGTAAGGTCACAGGTATTGGTTCCATGAGGTTGAGGACTGTTGATGGGCGGAGGTTAACTTTGACTAATGTACGGCATGTTCCTGCTTTAGGAAAGAATCTGATTTCATTGGGTACCCTGGATGAATTGGGGTACAATGGTGTGTTTTCAGATGGGGAGTTGTGTATTTTCAGAGGTTCTGAGTTGGTACTTAAGGGTATCAAAAGGAACACCCTCTATGTTTTTGAGGGTGTTACACTGCCTAGTTCTGCGGTTTGCGCATCTGTATCTCACCAGGAGATGACTAAGATTTGGCACATGAGGCTTGGTCATATGGGGGAGAAGGGGATGCAGCTATTGTCCAAGAGGGGTCTTCTATCCGGGGTCAAGGTTGCCAACCTTGAATTTTGTGAGCATTGTGTGTTTGGTAAGAAACACAGGTCAAAGTTCAGCAAGGGTGCTCACATTACTGATGCAGTGCTCGATTACATCCATTCAGATTGCTGGGGTCCATCTAGAGTTGAAGGTATGGGAGGTTACCACTATTTTGTGTCATTTGTTGATGACAAGTCCCGATACACATGGCTTAGGTTGCTTAAGTCAAAGGATGAGGCCTTCAAAGTTTTCAAGCAATGGAAAGCTTTGGTGGAAAATCGACAAGGAAGGAAGATCAAGAAGCTACGAACGGACAATGGGCTAGAGTTTTGCAAAGACGAGTTTAATCAGTTCTGTGCAGATGAGGGTATAGGTCGGCATCATACTGTCAGGAAGACACCACAGCAGAACGGTGTAGCAGAACGGGTTAATCAGACACTGCTAGAGAGAGTTCGATGCATGCTCTCTAATGCAGGGCTTGGGAGGAGGTACTGGAGTGAAGCTGTGTTAACAGCTTGTTATGTCATTAATAGGGGTCCTCATTCTGGAATTGATTCCAAAATTCCGTTTGAGATCTGGAGTGGTAAGCTGCCTAATTTTTCGAATTTGAAGATTTTTGGTTGTGTTGCTTATTATCATGTTATTGAGGGTAAGCTGGATCCACGAGCCAAGAAGGGGTGTTTTGTTGGGTACGGGGATGGTGTGAAGGGGTTTAGAATTTTTTCACCTTCGGAGGGTCGGGTCATTCTTAGTAGGGATGTTACTTTCGATGAAAACACCATGTATTCAATTAAAAATGCAGAGATTTCAGATTTGAGAAGGGAAGGAGACAATTTATTACAGACAGATGGGGTACTTGAGGTACATCAGTCTACCATTGCTGATTTACCTCGGGTACAATATATTGATGATGATGCTGATGTTCCAGTGCCGGGTACTCCTGAACCTGAGATTACTCCTACTCATTCTAACTCTGGGGATGAGGTGGAGCAATCTAATCAGGGGTCATCTAGTCAACCTGACACCATTCTTGAGATGCCTAAACGAGTTATCAAGAAGCCTGTTAGATTGATTGAAGAGATGGAGGGAAGAAATTGCTGTGTTGATGCGATGACAGGTTATGCATTGAGTGTAGCTGATGATGTAGAGTCATTTGAACCTGCCACATATAAACAAGCAATTAGTTGTAGTGAGTCTGCGCAATGGCTTGCCGCAATGGGTGAAGAGATGCAGTCTCTTTACAAGAACAGAGTGTGGGAACTGGTAAAGGTACCGGAAGGGAGGAAGCTTGTGGGTTGTAAATGGATTTACAAGAAGAAAGAAGGGTTGTCGGAAACTGAGCAAATACGTTTTAAGGCTAGGCTAGTTGCTAAGGGGTTCAGTCAGGTAGAAGGGGTTGACTTTGTTGAGATATTCTCACCTGTGGTTCGACATACTTCTATCCGTGTGTTATTGTCAATTGTAGCACATTTTGATCTTGAGCTGGAGCAGTTGGATGTTAAAACGGCTTTCCTTCATGGCGATTTGGAGGAGGAGATTCTGATGAAGCAGCCCGAAGGATTCGAAGTTCCTGGAAAGGAACACTATGCCTGCAGATTGCTAAAGTCATTGTATGGACTTAAGCAATCCCCCCGACAGTGGTACAAAAGGTTTGATTCTTTTATGGTTTCACAAGGTTTTGACAGGAATTCATATGATTGCTGTGTGTATCATAGTAAGCTGGATAATGGTTCCATGATTTATCTTTTGTTATATGTTGATGACATGTTGGTTGCCACAAAGAATAAATCTGATATTGCTAGATTAAAGGAGATGCTTAACTCGGAGTTTGACATGAAAGACTTGGGTGCAGCTAGGAAGATTTTGGGTATGGAGATCTACAGGGATCGGGCTAGAGGTAAGCTTTTCTTGACTCAGAAAAGCTACATTGAAAAGATTCTGTCTCGTTTTGGGATGGAAAAATCGAAGCCTATAAGTACGCCAACTACTGTTAGTTGTAAGTTGTCTTTGTCTATGTCACCTCAATCAGAGGAGGAGTTGTCTTATATGTCTAGAGTTCCATATGCAAACGCGGTTGGTTGTTTGATGTATGCTATGGTCTGTACTAGGCCGGATATTGCGCATGCTGTTAGTGTTGTAAGCAGGTTTATGGCTCGACCTGGGAGGGAACACTGGCAAGGGGTGAAAAGGATTTTTCGCTACCTGAGAGGGACAGCTGATATTGGTCTTGTGTACGGGAATGGTAGGGAATGCTTGGTCACTGGGTACAGTGATTCTGATTATGCAGCTGATGTGGATACCAGGAGGTCTGTGACTGGTTATGTGTTCACTTTGGGTGGTTCTGTGGTTAGTTGGAAGTCTACATTGCAGTCATCAGTTACGTTGTCAACTACTGAAGCTGAGTATATGGCTTTAACTTCTGCAGCTAAGGAGTCTATTTGGCTCAAAGGCCTAGTAGGTGAACTGGGTATTGCACAGGATTTTGCTACAGTATATTGTGATAGTCTAAGTGCGATTTGCTTAGCTAAAGATCAAGTACACCATGATCGGACGAAGCACATTGATGTCAGGTATCATTTCTTGCGTACTGACAAGAGGATTAAGGTGAAGAAGATTGGGACTGCTGACAACCCGGCTGATTTCTTCACTAAGCCTGTTCCGTTTAGCAAGTTTAAACATTGCTTAGACTTGCTAAATATTGATTACTACGTGATGTAGTAGGCCCTGAGGGGCGAAGTTGGGGAGCTCCTGGTGTAGGTGTGTTGGCATTAAGGTGGAGCTTGCCCGGGGCTTGTGATGCAGGTGGAGCATTATGAGTTGTTATACTTGGAGACGAGTATGTGATGGGTCTTGGTTGAAGACTTATCGGGATGTATGGCTTATGCATGAGTCCTGCATCGGGTTTGGCTTGAGATGTTTTTTCACTATGTCTTGATGGGGTCGTTTGCTGACTACGAGTTCTCGTCAAGGTGGAGATTGTTGATAAGTATATTAGGTGACTCGTACTTCGTAGCTTTGTCCGCCCGATCGGGCGGACATTGCCCGGTCTGACCGGGCGGAAGAAGAAGAGGTGCCTGGCAAATTCGTTGAAGAAGCTGCTCTCGCGCCCGACCGGGCGAGCCTTCGCCCGACCGGGCGAGCCTTCGCCCGATCGGGCAGACCTTGCCCGGTCTGACCGGGCGGTGGGGGTTGGATACGTTGAAGCATTCGTATGGAGTTTTCTTCTCGCGCCCGATCGGGCAGACCTTGCCCGGTCTGACTGGGCGGAGAAGGAAAAATGCGGAGACGCGGATTTTACGATTTAAAGTTATCTTTTATGTTATCTTTTTGCCCAAGTATCTTTTATTTTAGGGATTAATATAAAACCTCCCTAATATTAGTATTAGGGTTAAGAGAGACAGAGTGAGAGCCGTTCTTGAGAAATACAAGAATCATCTTTGTAATCTTTGCAGTTTATAGTGAAATCATTCGATCTCGGTGCCCGTGGACGTAGCTATCACATCGATAGTGAACCACGTAAATTCTTGGTGTTGTTCTTATTGTTTGCATTGAATTTCTTTATTGTTTTCTTGTTTGTTTTCGACCTTTGCTTCCGCTGTCGCACAACATGTGGCAAATCAAAGTGGTGAATTGTCACAAATGGCTCGATTCCTGCACAAAAATTACATATTAATGACTAAACAACCTTGAAATTACCTTTATAGCCAAAGTGGAAATAATTTTTACTATTATCATCTTTGATCCTTTAGTGAATAGTGATTTCCTAATTTTTTTTTTTCTTTTTTTAAAGAGCCACAAGGGTGAGTGATGAGAATCGATCCCAAAATCACCTAGAACCAGGAGGAGAGATCTAACCACTTGAGCTATCCCTCACTCTCTTCCTAATATAATTGTGGTTGCTTGCTAGATTCAAAGATAGGGTGCAAGAGGTTTAACTAAGATACATTTATTCAATCACAAAATTTGACTTTGCTAATGATGTTGACCGAAATTTGATCTTAACTCTTATTTACCACCCTCCAAGACTATGATCAATTATTCTACTTAGAAGTTAGAATCCTTTGTTTGATATGATCATGGAATCAAATTGCAAGAATGTTACTTTAAAAAAGTGCTTAACAACTACACTTTCTATCATATATTCATATTCCTGGCTTTTTAATTTATATGCACTAGATTTATTTTGAAAAATAAAACTTGAGACCCTTTTAGTTTGGGCCTTATGGTAAGGCCCACCTTGCACACCCTCTCAAATAAATACGTAGTTGATTTGTTAGTTGTTTTCAATGAATTATGCTTTACAATTACCAATAGAGGTGCCTTCAAAAAAAAAATTAAAAAAAATTAAAAAAAAATTACAATAGAGGTAGATAAGCCACTTTCCATGTTTCTTGATTATATCAACTTCTCTTCTCAATTATTTTATGTCAACTAAACAGCTCATGCAGTTCTTAAAAGTTATCACTTTTTGGTTTTTCCTCTATTTGCCTGCAACTATATTAGCATTTGGAAATAGAAAATAATATGAAAATAAATAAAGCTTGGATAAGTTTGGAGTTTAAAATAATATCTCCGTTTCGTATTATTTGCAACGATTAGACGTTTTCCCTCTCTATTTTATATCAAATCGTTGTAAATAATATAAAACAGAGATAATAATGATTGTTCACTATGTGACACTCATAGGCCTGTTATAATATCGATTTAAGGTGCGTTCACTTCACTTAAAATTGACTTATCTTGCTTGTGTAGTTACATTATTAAAACTAATATAAACTTAGTTTTTCTCAACATATTTAAACGTAATGCAGTACAATAGTTGTATGTGGTCATACATACAATAAAAATATAACAAGGTGAAGGAAACAAAATCTTAAAATATAATATGGTCATATAGTTTAAATTATTATATAAGGTCTTGTTCACTTCACCTTAATATATTCAGCAAAAATAATTTCAGTTCAGTAAAAAACAGTAAATTTAGAAGAAATATAATACTTTGGAGTATAATTTTAGATAAATAATTTCAATAAAAATAATTTCAGTTCGGCAAAAATAATTTTAGTTCAATAAAACTAATTTCAATTCAGCAAAAATAAGATGAAATGAATGGAAATTTGAGCTAATGATTGACTAAGGGCCTGTTCATATTTACTGAACTAAGCTGAACTGAACTGAACTGAACTGATTGGAGCTGAACTGAACTGAACTGAACTGATTAGAGCTGAACTGAACTGAACTGAACTGAACTAAGCTGAAATGAATATTTTATGAGAGAGGGAAATTAAGAGCTGAACTGAACTGATTGGAGCTGAGCTGAACTTAACTGAACTGAACTGAAAATAAGTAAATATGAACAAGCCCTTTCATTTCAGTTCAGTTCAGTTCAGGTCCAATCAATTCAGTTCAGTTCAGCTCCAATCAGTTCAGCTCAGTTCAGTTCAGTTCAGCTCTTAATTTCCCTCTCTCATAAAATATTCATTTCAGTTTAGTTCAGTTTAGTTCAGTTCCAATCAGTTCAGTTCAATTTAGTTCCAATCAGTTCAGTTCAGTTCAGTTCAGTTCAGCTCAGTTCAGTAAATATGAACAGACCCTAAGTTAAAATATTTCTAATCTGATTCGATTTGAACCGACCTCCAATTTTATCTAGCTTTTAGGCTTGGACAATAATTTTTTAACAGCCCTACATACCACATTGCCACCCTAAAGAAGCACTACTTGTACAAAATTATTAAAAGATAAGGTTAAATAAAAAAAAAAAAAAAGTCATACCTTTTAGCAGCAAATTGTCAATAATATTGTTGTAGAACATGAGCCCACTTGGATTGATCTCACCAAATCTTCCCCCTGCATTACGTGAAAAGTCGTCTTTAGATATAAGAATAGTTGCAAACAATTTAAAATATATACGTAATTTAAATTAAACAGCTAATTAATATATCATTCGACAAAATCAATAAATTAAATAAAATACTCGTATAAATATGATCATATCTATAAATCGTGTTACGTACTTGGTAGGATTCTGGTCCATGAGATTGACAATCGATAAGCATTTACTCCTAAATACTCTAATTTATCAATATCTTCCTGTCAAAATGCGACATTTTGCAACATATATAAGTATAATACGGAATATGGAGTAGATTTATTTGAATTAAATTTTATACTCCCTCCGATTTTTAAAAAGTTCTTTAAATTTTATTTTAACAATATTATTTGAATTAGAATATCATTTAGAGACAAAATGATGTAAAAACACAAATTTGAGAAATGGAAAAATAAATAAAATAAAATAACCATGTAACGATGGTAATGATCATCGGCTATATCTCCGTTTTCTCCTCTCCCAGTGTTCCCTGCAAGATGGTATCCTTTATTAAGTATTCATGTATATACATTATAAAAATTGACGTTCTAAAAATACATACGGAGTATTTATCAATATTATAAGGTTTTTTTTTTTTTTTTTTTTTTATTATTTTTTATGATAATTTTTTCTTGTCCTTAACATATTGTGGCAAGTATCTCAATTCTCAATATGGAGGGAGCAAAAAGTTAACAATGTAATTGATGCAGAGTAGACTACCTCCGTTTATTATTATTATGTTCAGTATTTAGTAAAAATAATTGCTACACATTATGTACGAAAAAATATTTTCTTTCATATTTAAGTTGTCATTTTTTCTTAGGTCTCTCCATATCACATGTTACACTATTTTTTTCTCTCCATTCAATACTCAAAAACAAATTGTGATTACAAATATGAAACAATGGTAGTATTTATCATGTCTGAGTCTGTTGTTTGGTGTTTGAATCTCATGCACGCATCAAGCATTTGAATGTAATTTAAACTTTATTGTGCTCCTTTCATCCAGAATTAATAACTAGCATCCTATACATTTTATTAGATCAGATCATTTTAAATAGATTACATATAACCTATGCTTAGTTTAATTACTACTTCTCCGTAGTCCTTAGATTAATGTTAATATAAGTCATCAGATCTAAAAAAAAAAGTCTTCATATGGCAGTCCAAGGTATATTAAATATCTAATTTAATAAAATACTTGATGGCTGGTACAACATTACTTACATTAGTATGTCAAGGATCAATAATGTATCAATTTGATGCAACATCAACTAAATATAACTTCTACCAACAAAGTGTTAACTCAATTGGTAATGTTCCTACCTCAAATAATCTTAGAGGTTTGAAGTTTGAACTCTACCAAATGAGGGTATTTAGGGGTAGGGATTCCTTTACCCTTCCCTCTAATCCCAACTGTCTGGTCTGTAAATACTGGACCAAAAAAGTTGTGAGGGTTGAGGTATGATTAGGGTACTCCTTACCAATTAAAAATACTAAATATAATTCCTTAAAATGTATGTACACATTCCTAAAATTGTGACCTAAACTAAATATTTTAATAGCCATCCCAACCCCCATTTTTTTTTTTTTTTTATTTGTTTTGTAAACAAAATTGGCTTCAGCTATGGCATGCTTGAGTGCAGCCAACAATACGACCTTAAGTACGTAGGTGCAGCCCACACCATGAACTATAAGGTTAGGTGCATGAAATGACCACATAAGAAATAATATACTACGTACAAGACTTCCCTCATGAAAAAATAAATTAATAATAATAATATACAAGACTATATTATCTAATCTATTTTGAAATTATTCTAATACTCGTATTAAGAAATCTAAATTATCAATCAATAACTATATATTAAAAGACACACCATCATATCAATGACACATGTCAGTTTCTGGTGTGTCCTTAGTATTTTTTTAAAAAAAAATATTTAATAGAAAATTTATTTAAGGAAATTATTTGTAAAATTTAATTACTATATAAATAGAAATGATATTTACCTTTTTTTTTTTTTTTAATATTCACATTCAATTAACTAATTAATATGGAGAATAGAATAGCAAAATATAATCTTTGTAAATATTTTTTAAAAATATGATCTTCTACTATAAATTTCATAATATCCGTTTCAAGGATACAATTGAGATAGACAAAAGTTAATGACTAAAAACGAGATATTACAATATATGATCACTAATAAGTATATACGCACATAATTTTTTTTTGTCAATAGCCGTGCATGGCACATTGGCACGGGACCTAACCTAATAGTATTATAAAGTAATGCCAAGGTTATTAAATGCTATAAATTTCAAAATAATATTACAAAAATAGTGTAAATTGGTGTAAATAATATTTCATATGTCTTTTTTTTTTTGCCCCATTTAACTTTACGATTTCTAAAATGCATCTTAAAATGTATATAACTTCAATTTTATATGCATAAAAATAATAAAAACTGCTATTAATAAAATAGACAACGAGACAAATCCATCAAAACCCCACTGGATTATATTATCTCATATAGATTAATGAGAATTTATAGAAAAAGTTTTACCAGTTTGGCTCAATTATTTGCAATGTGGCAAAAAAAATGACAGAGGGAGTACTTCCTCCGTTTTTTGAAGTGCTTGAACTTTTTATGTATAGTATTAACTTGACCTACTTTAACCAATGTTTGTGAAATATATGTAAGATAACATCTTACTTTGTGGAGTTGTGGATACTCATTTAAATCGTTTCAATGAATATTTTAATAATATTCAGTTGTTATAATTTATACATATCATATAACTAATATATAAAGCTAAACTTTTAGCCAGGCAACGAGATAGCGACACTTGGCGCTCCAAATTTTCGCCAAGTGTCGCGCCACGTAGGATAGAGTTAAATAGAATTCAATTTGTATGATAAAAAAATTAATTTAGAATTCTATTTTCAATCAAATTTGGATAGAATTTTAGGATAAAATTGTTAATTTAGAGTTTTATTTTCATAAAGTATCAATATTTCATATGTACAAATTAAGTAATAATTTTATAAAAAAAAAAATTATTACAATCATAAATTATCATATAAATTTATTTTTTGTATCATAGTATTTTTTTTGGAGCGAAGGAATTAGCTCAAAATGCACCACATCCATTATTTATAATGTATTCTAATCAATTAAAACAATATACTTTACAATCTAGAGTCATTTCGGACAGGGTCAATATTTTAGGTTACGGGTCAAGAAATGTTTTTCACCAATGTTATTATTAGTCATTACATGCCTACTATATAGTTTAAATCACCACAAAAACACATCAATTCCTAAGTAATTTTGTATCAATGATATGTTTTAAAATTTGACATATAGATTAAGAATTTATCTTAAAATTCAATAAACAACCCGGGCATCGCACGGATACAAAACTAGTTGATAATTAAAGATATTATTGATAAAGTTATGCAACAGCATATGTGTCAAGTCGCAATAGAACACTAAAAAAAACATAGGGAGAATATTGTTGTTTTTTTTTTCTCTCTTTTAGCCTACAGACTGCATTTCCTAATTCATTAAAAAAAATTATAAGAAGTATATGATCAAAATGATATCTATCAATCTATATGTGTTCGCGGTGCATTTGTGTAAGAAAATTGCTTCATGTTTATAATGTGTGATTAAAAGTGAGAGATAGGTTAAGTGGTTAAAATTTCTCTTTCGGTTTCAGGTGATCCTAGATCGATTCCCATCACTCGCCCTTATGGTTCTCTTAACAAAAAAAAAAAAAAAAGTGTGGTTAAAAGACAATGTGTTTATATAAAAAAGAAATGACATTGTGTGGTGATTGCCCAAGTATTTGGTTGCTATAACAACATTAATGTTGATATACATTGTCATTCCATTCTAACGTGTGGCACACAACGCAAACTACTTGATGGTTATGGTCCTATGGTACACTAGTAAACAGCTGGATTTATCTATTCGTAACTTACTAGCTTGTTGACTCTTTGCCTTGTGAAATTTAAAATTCTTACGCAAACCACCACACCAATATCCTTCTTGTATAACAGTCAAAGGAGATGAGTGTATAATGCACATGTTATTACAAAACTTTTTAGTTTCCTCGAATAATTATGAAGTATTTAAATTCATTTCCTTCTATTTATGATGGACTATCTAAACTACTACTTCATCGGTTAATTATTAATTGCAATAAAAGGGTATTATTTGTAAGACATAAAATATTCTTTTGTTCTAATTAATATTTTTAACGGATGAAGTAAAAGACTAAACCGATTATTGAAATCCAAAATAGTTTATATACTATATCGTATAGTATTCAGTATTAAAATCGAAAGAAACTCATGAAAAGGTATAAAATTTATTACATACCAGGATGATGAGTGAAAACATCCCAATTATTGAGGCTCTTTCCATCTTCAAGATAAGCTCCTTCTATCTGATCACACACAAAAAAACACAACTAATAAGTCAATATTTTTTTTTCTCATTTTTTTGTTAGAAAAGATGAGATAATAATAGAAAGGATGATGCTATACTTGGTATGCAGAAGTGGCAACCCCAAATATAAAATCGTCGGGAAACATCGATCTTGTTACGACTTCTTCTTCCTCTTCGACTTCATGGTTGTGTTTACTTTGAACTAGAAGAAGCAGAGAGAAAAAGAAGAAAGAGAGCAGAGTTTTTTGTAGCAACATTCTTTTTTTAAGATAAATTTCTTTTTGGTTATTTCTAGCATTTTCCTTTTGAACTTTCTACTTTTATAACACGATTAGGGACATGACAAATAGAGGAGAATTATTTAAATGATCAATTATTATACGCAACGTTGTTTTTTCTAATTTTTGTCATTTTTTATTTTATCTTGTTAAATTCTTTGGTTGTCAACCAAATTTTGTGATCCTATGAATGCTATGATGTGACCAGGGAGAAAATATATGTGGTGATTGGTCCAATGGGCCATGAATTAAGCATTTATGGGGATGGGCTACAACATTATTATGTACCCTTTAGTTCTTCATGGGTGTATCGAATAAAACATAGCTATAAAGGTAGTTGTTAGATGTCAACAAGCTGTTAGATGTGAGAATTGATTATTTAAGTATAAGTGTATTCGGTAAAGTAACAATTGACTAGCTGTTACATATAATAATAAAAAAAAATTCTTATGTAAGAGCTACCTCGAAGGCTCTAACTTCAAAATTTAATATTTCTAACTTTTAATAAAAACTACTTTTACCACTTAAAGCTACCCCAATCACTACATTGCCAAACATTCAAATTTTTTGTTAAATAGTGGTTTGACCTATTCAAATCACTAATGTCAAACACACCCTATATAGGGGCTTCATAATTGAGGGTGTAGTTTTTCAGATTAACCATTGATTAGAAAAAAGACGGGCAACTAATATACCCAATTAACAATAGGTGATATTGTTGTAAAATAAGGAGAAATATAAAAGATTGAGAGGGAATTGAAATGTGTATTCTATTTATATTTATATCTACCCTGCGACCAAACCCCGCGCCCACTCGACTTCCCAGCGCTACTGTCAGGCCGCGGGGCTGACCTGCGCCCGTAGGTTCTGAAGAGCAGCCAACGCAGCCCACGACCACGAGGCTTCGTCGCTGCACATACATCTTCACTCGTCCCTTGATCTATCGATCTTATTCGTGCCACGTCATCTTTTATCATCCAATAGCATTGCAACTTTTGTATTTATTATTTTCTTATTTCTTTTCTTTATTTATTTTTAGATTAGTTTTAGGATAATATAAATACTTCAAGGGATATTATTTTTCCCTTATGCCTTTTTATACTTTTTATTTTACGTTCGTTGTAGTTTTCTCTCTAGCCCTAATTTTCTCATGGGCAACTCCATGGATTCACCATGGATTGTTCTTGAGTTTATTAATTTTATTCATTGAGGTAATTTTATTTCTTTATTTTAATTATGCTTTCTTTATTAGATTTAGCTTTAATTATTTCTTTCATGTTTGAGTAGTTTAATTTCTAGGGTTTGGGAATCCATGTTTATACTTTAATTCTTGATTGATATTATTTATGATTTGATTATTGATATCTCTAATTGATAGTGTTTTATTGTTAATCTTGCAACCTGATCAATTGTTTGATTAATTATTGTTGATAAGAGTTTGAATCGAAAGATCTTACTTTTAGAGGCTTCCCTACAATTAGCAATTCTGATTATGTTAGCGACCGTACTGCATATGTTGAATTGAGAGCGTTAAGACCCGACCGTAGGCTTAGCAATTGCTCTAAAAGATTGATTGATTGAATTGTTATTGATATTTGATAGATCTAGAATTATAAGCATGGTGAACCACAACCCTAGGTCTTTTTATTAATTATTTTTTCCCTATTTTAATTTAGACTATATTTTCATCCCAATTTCGCGACATAGTTTAGTTTCTCCATACCTTGAAAGCTAGATTGAATAGCCATCTCTCTGTGGATTCGACCCTACTTACCCTACTACATTGTTAGTTGGTTTTGTTAGGAATTTATTTTTGACAAGTGTACGACAACCTATCAAATTTTGGCGCCGTTGCCGGGGAGACGGCTTAATTTGATTTGACTTTTATTTTTGGTTGAACTAAACTTGTATATATTTTTATTATTTATTTTGTATATATTTCCTTTTGGTTTTACTCTGATTTTGTCATCATGGCGTGGTATGATTATAATTCGTATGGGATGAATGATTTTAATTACCAGGGGCAATATGATTATAATTCCGGGTATTGTAATGATAATATTTCTTTGTTTGATACATCATTTGATTATCAAAATTCACATAATAATTGCATGAATTTCTGTGAAATTTCTCATTACCCTAGTGAGTCTTATATACCTGATTTTAATACCTCTTACCAACCTCAAGTGGATAATTATACTCAACCCAATTCATCGGAGTGTAGGGAACTTTTTAATATGATGAATGAGTTTATTATTTATCAGCATGAAGAGATTAATGAATTGATGCATGATTGTCAACGTATTTCAAAATCTATTGAATTACTTGATGTGCAACAATATACTAACCAAGAGGTGATACATGATGATAATGATATTGGTTTTGAGGATTGTATTTCAGTGGAGGGAAGCGCTAATTTGACTTATGATATTTACTCCCCGTCAAATGAAAGTATAATAGAGGAGAATAATATTTCATCTCTTTATGATTCTGATGGTGAAAATTATTGGAATGAAGATATAGAGGTAGTGGAAAAGGAAGAATAACCAATTATTGTTAAGTCTTTGGTTAAGAAACCATTGGTTTTGGAACTGACAAGTTTACTCATAAGGGTGAAGTTGAAGGTAAATGCATTGATGTTGAGCTTAACCGACTAACCCTTTATATCCCGTTTTCCCAGAGGTTTAATCTAGTTCCTTCATTCACTATGTTGAATCATCCTTACTTTCTTAAAATGTCCCCATGCCATGATACATTTGGCCATGTAGACCTTGATGTTTATTCAAAAAGGTCTACATTGCCTAAGGAGCAAGCAAAGGTAAGTTGTATATACTCTCCTTTTTCTTATTACTTTAACTTTTCTTTTTCCGATTATTTTTCTTTTATTTTTTCTAACCCCCTGTATTTCAAGTTTTGTGTGCTTGTAGTCAAGCCATATGTGGTGCTCAATGATATGTTTGCAGGGGCGTATGATAAGTTACTCAAGGCATTGGATTATTTTGATTGACGAATTGAGTAAGGTCGTGCGGGAACTTAAAAACCAGCGCTAATTGGGAGGCAGCCCAATTTTCTTTGTTTTTTTTTTATTTCAAATTTTTTTTCGTTATTTAAATAATAATGCTAATGTATGTTCTAGTGATGACGTCTTTTGCTAGGTACAAACATAGCTAAGTTCCTTGGCTACGTCGGCTACCCAACTACAACTACCAATTGTGGTGGAGGTGTCTATACCTTTGACGCTCCCTTCGCTTACCCGCCCCTTTGTGAGTTGTGTCTCTCCCTTATTTATGCTTTAGTTCCTCTTTGTTCACATTGAGGACAATGTGATGTTTAGCTTGGGGGAGGATGATTATAATCATCACTTTGTGCATGTTAGTTGTGTTTAGTTTATTTTTTATTGCTTTTTAGGTGTTGTATGGTTTGTACCATTCATTAAGAGTGGGAGTTTACATACAACGAAAAACAATGTATTGTTTTCTTAGTTTTTTTAGTTGTTTTGATAGTGCATACTTGTGTCTATTTTTCATATTTTTGACTTTGAACCGTGTGCGGATTTGGTTTGACTCTCTTAAGCTTCTTTTGATGTTAGTTATAATTCTAAAATTCAGTCGGTTTGTGCTATACATTGCTAACTACTTGACATTATGTGAATCAATTGAATGGTTTGTGGAAGATTGGTTGTCCCATATCAAGTATAGCTAGCCAATTCTCTTGCTAGGTCACCTAACTTTGTGTTTGTGTGATTGATGCAATTTGTTATTTCAATGACTTTGGCTTGAGATTTATTAGTAATTTGATTATGATTCACGCGTGCCGCACATGATAAAGGCCATGTTCTTTAGGTAACCTTCAGATAATATTTAGATACATTTGTTCCCTTTGCTCACCCATGTTTTTGCCTTGTCCATTTATTGATATATAGCTACATTACAAGCCACTTTAGCCCCATTGGTTACTATTCCCAAGTCTAGCTTGCTTGGGGAGCTTATTGATGTGGTGTTGTTGTTTGAGTGTCAAGCTTTAATTTATGCAAAACATGGTGGAATAAAGATTGAAAAAAAAAGTTGTATTTATAGTTGAGAAGTGTTACTTTAAGATGTGAAAAAAATAAATAAATAAAAATAAAAATCTTAATTATGTGTACTTCATTGAAAAAGCCAAAGAATTGAAAAAAAAGAGGCAAAGAAAAAGGAAAAAAGAAAGGAAAAATTATTCATGACGATGTATAGTTGATTTCAATCTTGGTTTTTTATTATGTTTGGAGAAAGTTGGTGATGTCAATTGGAGTTAGATCATTATTTGATCGCGTTTATGTTTTTGCTCCCCAAGTTGGCTCTTTACTCACATTTTCCTAAATATTATCCTACCCCTTTACCTTAGCCCCATTACAAGCTTATAAAGTCCTTTTTATCGGCATGCGTGTTTTGTGATTGAGTGAACATTAATTATTGCTATCGTCAAGTTACCCTTTGTTGCATCAAATATTTATATACTACAAGGTGTGCGGCGACGACTAGCTTGATTGGGAAATCGTTTGTGGATAAGTTTGGTTTCAATTGTGGATCATGATGTTGAGTGGTTCTATTTGTATCCGAGCTAAATTTTGGTCTTAATAACTTTGGTTTGATTGTTTGCTCGAGAGTTGAGTCGGTCTTATTCTAGTTCCCTAGAAGTCTTATTTGTCTCTTTTCTCCGTCTTGAGTCTAGTATTGCTTGGGGACAAGCAATGGTTTAGCTTGGGGGAATTTGATGAATCACATTTATATAAAGTTTATCGGCACATTTATGCTAGTTTTATAGTTGCTTTTTAGGCTTTTAGTCGTTTTTTAGGTCGCAAATGCATAAGTTGTTTGTTTTGTGCTCTACTACGCTCCGTTTGTGTTTTTCTTAATGTTTCAGGTGATTTCATAGTCATTTGAACGCTTTCGGAGTAGTTTTGGAAGAAACGAACAATAAAAGAATGAAATGTCGATGAATCGAGGTCACTCAATGAAGGATATGTGTTGATGGAAGCTAAATATGAAATTTGTTTCGGGTGTTTTTAGGATTTCCTAGGATACTGGTCACGCTCTTCTGGCAATGAGTCG